ACACTCAGCAAGATGCCCGGTGTGGAGTCGGAGCTGCGTGAGTGGCGGGGCACTGCAGTTACCCACAGCCTCTGCCCCATGTTACTGGGCAGGGTGAGGCTAGAACAGCAGGGCCTGCTGCAAGGACACTGGGCCCTGGCCCCGGGAGAAGGAGGGAGAGGAAGGTGGCTCTTCTCTGCGCTCCCAAGACAAGGTCTGGGCTCTCCCGCGGCTGTCCTCTTGATGGCCCTGGCCAAGCCCCAGCCGCTTTCTAGGCTGGGGACCTTTGTCCTTGGAGAAAGAAGGGAGGACGAGCCAGGTGGAGGTGCCCTGAGCTCTGACGTTCTAGTTTGGGACCAGAGGAGAAAAGAGGGGAGCCGCCTGCCCTTCCCTCCTTCTGTCCCTCCCTCCCAGCTGCCATACCTAGCCAGAGGTGTCAAGCGGTTCCCTGTCGGTGAACACATGCACACCCCGTGCACACTCCCGCGTGGACACACACGCACACCCCCACATGTCACACGTGTCACACCAACACCCCATGGGCCCCTCGGCGGCCACCCCCACCCCCAGCTTCATTCCCACCCCCCTCTGTTATATAAACTCCCCGTGCCCTCAGTGTCCCCCGCAATCACTTACCTAATATTAGGATATTAAAAAATATGGCAAGATTTTAAGAGACTTATTAAAATGCAATTAGCAGCGTGTACGACTTAAGCAGGGAGATTATTTTTAAAAATGACTTGATTGTGCCGAATACCACGCACCTTCCCGAGGCCGTAAACCTGCCAATCACGCACGTTCTCAAATGAGGAGGTTTCCTTGCTTTCTTTGTCCTTCAGGGTTTTCTTCTGCCCCCGGTGACCATGAAGGCCACCACCCCTCGGCCCTCGAGGCCCCCCACCACACATGCGCACTGAGACCCCTCCGGAGTGGCCGCAGAAGGGTGCCGAGGGGTGAAGAAGGTCTGAAGCAACGCCTGCAGCTTGGGAAAATGCCCTGAGGCTGGGCAAGGGGTGGGGAAAGCCCCACCCCCAGACGCACCCCAATATGATCTGGATGGGGTCAGGTCAAATTGTCCCCTGCTGTGAAGGAAGTGTGAAGGGGGGCGAAGAGCTAAAGGGAGGTGAAGTCCTGGGAAGGGGGTTACCGCTGGCTTCCTCTGAGGAGGGTGCCTCAGACACCCTCGCCCCAACGACCCCCACAGCGCCCACCGGCCGGCCTGGAACGGTGTGCTATGCTGCCCCCTGCTGCCCGCTCTCTGCTCTGCAGCTCTGCTCTTGGGACCTGCGGGCCCAGAGAAGGAAGGGGTGTCAGCCTTTGCCCGGCTCACGAGGGGGACCCCCCCCACCTCCAGGTCTTCCTCGGCTCCAACCTGCAGAGAATCATTTGCCTCTGGAAACGTGGGGCTGCTGCCTCCCGTGCGGCCCCACCCGGCTGGAGGAGTTTATCAAATGGACTTGCTACTTCCTGGCATTAGGCTCCCCCTGGCACTTTTATTCCAGCCATAAAAAGGCTATTTCATTGAGAAATAAAGTCCCATCTCCCTGACGTGTAACTCCTTTCAGAGCTCTTACTCAACTGCCAGGCAAAATTTATGTTTCCTGGATGCTTTCTGCTATGATTACAACTGGAAATTGGGGAGAGAGAGCTGGAAGCCAGAATTTTCCCTCTGGCCAGAGGACATGCGTATATTCCAGTGGTCTAAGGAGCCCCAGAACCCCGAGGTGTCCAAGAGAGAGAGCCCTTGCTGTGCAGTCTTAGCCAAGGCCCCGAGCCTCAGTTTCCTCATCTGTAAAATGGGCAGAACAATCCCTTCCTTCCTCAAAGGGATGTTGCTAAGTGTGATATGGCAGAGGTGGCAAGTGCTTGGGCGAGGAATGAAGGTCAGGTGTGGTCCTTGCTAAGGAGGCAGAGGAACTCTACTTCAAGACAGCTCTATCACATTACCCCAGAGGAGGGTTCTCAACCTGCGCAGTACAGCATCAGAATCTCTTCATTAAGATGCAGGCTCCTAGGCCCCCTCCCAAATTATTGGATCTAGGGTGAGGCCCAAGAATTTTCATTTCTTCTAAAGTGGCCTCAGAGGTGCCAGACAGGCACTGTACCACTGAGACTGAGCTAAATCCCCAGCTCGAGAACAAACATTTTTCTGGGCGTGGTGGGGCATGCACACGCTGTAATCCTAGCACTCTGGAGGCTGAAGCAGGAGGATCACTGCAGGCTCAAGGCCAGCCTAAACTACATAGCGGGAGCCTATCTCCAAACAAACAAAAAACGTGCATTTCTAACAAGCTCCCAGGGAGGCCTTTGCTGTTGGGAGGGATCCGCTATGAGAAGCACTGTTCTGAGTGCTTTGAGATCTGGGATGTGGAGTGGCTGAGCCTCCTCGGCTTTGGGAGAACAAGGAAGGGATGAAGGACAGGGCGGGCTGTGGCCCAAGAAGTGAGAACGAGCTTCTGGCTGTGTGGTCCCGCATCTGATGTCTCCGGCAGCCCCCAGCCCCAGAGACCCACGCGGGGAGCCCCGGAGGTACGGGAGGTGACAAGTTCTGGCCTGAGCTAGAGACGGGATCCTCAGGGTCCTCCCTGGGCTACATTAGACTTCGTTACCATCTCCAAAGAGCGAGCCTGTAGCCCAAGGGCAGAAGTTCCCAGGCGCCTGCTCCCTAGTAGCCCGGGCCTGGATCCAGGCTCAGAAAGTGAGTGGACGCAGTCAAGATCGCTGGGCACCGGTGGGGAAGCCTGGTCTCCTGACGCCCAGAAAACAGCTCTTCCCACCCTGCCGCCTCTCTGGTTACGCAGTAATTTGGAGAATTACTGAGCTGATAACTACAATTCCAGTTTAAGTAATATTCAAATACCCAACAGAGACCTGCCGCCGAGGCTGAAAGAGTGTGTTGTGAGGGGAGGTCTGTCGTGGAGAGCAGCTGACATCTGGGCGTCCAGGACTTTCAAGAAGGGAAGAACAATGAAGGTGGCTGTTGTACGGCGTGAAAGCAGACCCCAACTTCCCACTGTCACCGGGGGTGGGGCTCGGGTGAGAATCCAAGCCGCTGAGGGTGGGGAAGGGCTGGTGAGGTCCACCCACCCCCACGGCTGTCTGACCCCAAGGAGAGCCATCCCCGCCAAGATGTCACTGTCCACAGAGCCGCTGGTCATAAACAATGACAGCGAGACCTGGGGCATCTCAACAGGAAAAACCGGACATCCCAGAGACAGGCACTGAACTCACACACACAGTCCCGCACGGCCCCGGGATCAGGCACATGTGCCCCTCGGGGCCTGGGGGCCCTGGAGCCAGGTCACTAGAGCTCTGTCTTGCGATCTTGAAGGAGAATAGGCGCCCTCCCCAGAACCCTGAGCTCTTTCTAGTTAAACGGCAATTGCCCCGCTTTTGAGAGGCTTCAGAATGAGGCGAGGGAAGTAAGTAATGAGGTCCGTGCCAGCTGCGCGAGGGGCAGAGCTGGAAAGAATGCCCCGAACAGGTCATGCCCGACCCTCCCCACCCTGTGATCACCGCCCGCCTGCAGGGCGCGGGGCCGTTTCTGCCAGGCAGAGCCTGGTGGTTTCATTAACTCGGTTCCCTTTGTCTCTTCTCCAAGGTCACGGGATGCTTAAACAGAGGAAGACTTGGTAAAGGGTTGGAGCGGTTTTACAGGACTTCCGTGTGTGTGTGTGTGTGTGTGTGTGTGTGTGTGTGTGTGTGATCTGTGATGCTTAAAAGCTGGGTGGCCCCTGCAGGATCAAGAGGCGGGGGATGACTAGGGGAAGAGACAGACAGACAGACGCAGAGGGCAACTCCTGCTAGGGACACTGCTGCCGGGGCTGAGATGGAAGATCCAGCAGTGGTGCCGCCTGCAGAAGGGACCCTGCTGATCACCTTTCCTTCCAGTGGGGCAGGTGGGCCCTGAACCAGCCGCTGCCCCCGAGCCCCTGGTTGCAGCTCCCATCCCTCCGCCATCCTCTGCAGCTGCAGCTGTTGACGCGTTCTATCGAGGCCGCCTCTCCGCCACGGCTTGTGGTTCCCCACACCGTCCTGTTCACACACCCCAAATTGCTGGCCTTCTTTCTGTCCCTCCGGCTCCTTGGGGCCCTTGCACTTCCGTTACTGTCCCGAATGATGCCCTCCCCCAGCTCATTCTGACCTCCCCCTCTGGGTCACCCTGACCTTCCCACCGGAAGCAGCTGCAAACCACCCCTTTCCTGAGCCCCTAGCTTGGTGCTCTTCAGAGAGAGCATGGTTATCTGAGATTGTCCACTTGTGTTTATGGCAGGTGTTCAGTTCCCTACACACACACACACACACACACACACACACACACACAGAGAGTTTCCTTCTCACACACACACAGAGTTTCCTTCTGCACAAAGGATTTTCTCTGTCCTGGGGGCCTCCCCAGAGTTGAAACAGTGCCGGCCCCCAGGAGGCACCCCATAAACATCTGTCAGGGGACAGGACTGGGTCCCAGATACGCACTACGGAAAGCAAGCGGGTCCTGGGGAGCCAACAGAAGCTCACCGGGCTGGGCCAGGCTCTGTCCACCAAGCCCACCAGCATCTGAAGGTCTTCTAGCCCTGGAGCCTTGGGCTCCTGGGAGCAGACACAGCCCCAGGGGAGGCCAAGGCCACCCTGCCAGGTGTCCAGGGGCACTCGGAGGCCCAGCTTCCCCTCTAGGTGTCAGGCTTGCCCTGGTGAGGGCTGCTATCCCTGGGCAGTGGCTGCCCACAGGGGACCCACCCGCGGGGGGGGGGGGGGGCTTGGAGTCACGGCTCGGATTCAAGAAGGGAAATCATCTAAGCTTTTAAAAAATTAAATGGAGTCAGTAATTTGATTTCAGAGAGAAGCTGAAAACCTCGTAATGGCAGGAGCAGCTCAATTCCGTGGTGAAAAGGAAAAGCCTTAAATGGGGCTATTAAGCTTTAGCCTGGGACGGATCTGCCCAGAGAAGGAGGAAGGAGGGGGCGCAGGGGGAGAAGTCATCTTCGAGGTAGGGACCGTTTATCAGCCACGACAACCCTGATTATTTATTTATTTATTTAGCCCGCGTCCCGGTGGGCGTTGCCAACGGCCTCCTCTCTCCTTGGCTGTGTTTCAAATCCCACTTGCAGCCTTAGCTCGGCCTGGAAGGGGTGGGGGTGCCGCCCTTTCAGGGGGAGCTCCGAGTGCAGTGATCCAGCCACTGCTGGGCTTCGGGGCCAGGGGCCTGGGAGCACTAGTTCACTGAGGTCACCGGGGCTGTCCGAGCCGTCAGGGTACCAGCTGCTGCCATGGAAACAGAGAGACGGGGGAGTCAGAAAAGCAGAGCAGTGACGCCCCCCACTCTGTCCTCCCCTGGGGCTCTCTAGAGACCTGGGGTCCAGCTGCCCTGAAGCCCTGGGGAGTGGACCGCACACTAGGGAATTGCACCCGCCCTGCTGAACCCCATCCCTGAGATGGCTGACCCCCCCGCCAAGCTCTCCGTGCCTGTGATTTTACATCGCACAGCAGCAATAACCCCAGCGTGGCTCTGAGCCTGCGTTGTGTCAGGGCTCTGCACTAAAAGCCTCAAATCCGGTCCTCTCTCGCTCTCTGGCACTCCCAGGGCTCACCCCAGGGTCTCCACAGAGGACCAGCATGAGGGCCTCTCAGAGAGCCCTCTCCACAGAGCGCAGAAGCTTAGGAGGCCCGCGATTCTCAGGGCTGGTGGCCGCCGCAGCCTCTGGCGGGTCGTGTGGTGGCAAAGCCCTGTGACCTGCTGGGAAGGGGTTTCCAGGCTCGGCCAGGCTGGGCGCTGCGCTTCCTGCAGGAACCTGAAGGCTCAGGGTACTCAGAGGAAGAGGGCCAGGCGTGCGAGTCCCCCACTCAGGCCAGCCCACGGTCCCTTCGGGAGCTGACTCCAGATCTGGGGCTCTGTCTGAGCCTTCCACAGATGGGGTTGCAGGCCTCTTGGAGGTGGAGGCCACAGGGCTCTCTGGAAGACCTGTCAGGGAGCCTGCAGGACTTATCCTGGGCCTCCCGGGGGGCTCAGGTCCCAAGGTGCCCAGGCCGGCACCGGTGTCTGGCTGCCACCCTCCTGGGGAGAAGAATGTGGCATCTGTCCCTGGCAAGGTGGTGAGTCTCGGTCCCTCCGTCCCCTGCCTTAGTCTGGGGGATGACCGGTCCAGGGACTCTCTGGACATCCCCCCAGGCAGGTGACGGCCACTCTCAGGTGGCCTCTCGGCCTCTGCTACGGGAGATGTTTCCTGGGGCAGTCTACGGGAGTGAGGGGACCCCGACTCCTCAGCCAGCCTGGTCACCCGGGGCCTCGTCGATGGCTGGAACTCCTTGCCGGCCTGCGTGGGCTCCATGACAGCCACATCCACGCCTGCGGGGAGGGGACTTCCTGGTGAGTGGGCAGGGTCCTGCTGGGAACTTGTAGTTGGGGTGACCGGTTGTCCTGAACCCAGGGACGCTTCGGATGGGTCAGACCTCCAGGAGGGTGACGGGGGGAAGGAGGCTTCTGAGGACAGATATGTGGCCGAGGCAGTGGAAGCTGGTAAGTTGCGCTGTGAGGGTCTGGGGCCGGCCTGGACAGCTCCCGGAGGCCCTGAGGACAGTGTGGCTGAAGCAGGGGAAGGCTGAGGCAGCCCTGTTTCCCCCAGGGGAGCCTGGGGACAGCCTTGATCCAGAGGGGCTCCGGGGGAAACTGGGGCAGCAGACACCCAGCTTCTTTCTGTAGGTCTTTCTGTAGCTGTTTGCAGGACGGGTCCAGGCTCCAGCTGCAGGTGGGAGAGGAGAGAGAGAGAGAAAAACACATCAGAAATAAAAGCACATGGCTCTGGCTCCCTGGGGATCTCGAGGTCTTGGCCTGTGGGAGCTGCCACCTCGGGCTGATGCTGTAGCTTCCCACCACAAGGCTTTTACAGCGTGCCTCGGTTTCCCTCCCACCGTGCGCAGGCACAGCTGCGGTTCTTTCTTCGCCTCAAGCCCTAGGGAGGCAGAGAGCCAGGCACAACAGATGGGAGCGGCCTGCCCTCGTGGGGACGCTGGCTTTCTCTGCAGCTCGTCTGAATTTGAGAAAGTGACATGCCTGGAGACTAGACAGGGTTCCCTTTGGGAGAACCATGGCTTCATGCCTGCTGGGCCCACCCAGGCCCACAGGACCCAACCCTTGGGGAGGGCACTGGGTAGAGGGCCCAGCATGGACTTGCCTGAGCCAGGGTGGCCGGGCCTGTGTCCTGGGACTGTGAAGAGGCGCTGGGCAGCGATCCTGCTGGAGGGGTTTCCGGTTCCGGGGGCAGCCGGGAGGAAGGAGTCTTCAGTGTGGCTGCTGAGGCAGGCAACTCTGTTTCTGAGCCTTCGGGGAAGGTGGTAGAGGTCAGCCTTCCTCCTAAGGAAGCACAATCCTGCCCATGCCCGCTGGAAAGACCATGACCATCCCATTTCTACATGGCGGGCGATATAAGTTTTCGGAGGTCACGATCCAGCGTGGGTTAGAAGGCGTAATCTCAGCTGACTTTGCTGGACCTCTGACCTACAGAGACTGAGTGGGTAGCAGGTTTTTTGGTTGTTGTTAAAACAGGTTCTCCCTATGCAGGTCAGGCTGGCTTTGAACTCGCTACGTAGACCAGGCTTGTCCTGAAGTCAGGGCAATCTGCCTGACTCAGCCTCCTGAGTGCTGAGATTACATCCCTTCACCACCACGCCTAGCTCACATTTTTAAAATTTAGTCTCAGAAATTTAGGTTTATGTAAAGACCCCCTGGCCCTGACTCCCTGTCCCAGCTTGAATCTCACTGGCTGGTCTCATCTTTGAGCCAGTTCCTACTCTGAACCAAACAGAATTGAGCAGGAATCCCTTAATTTAGATTCATCCCAGGCTCCGCTGACGTTTCCGGGCCAGAGCCGTGTGTGTGGGAGCAGTGTTGTGTGCATTATAAGATACTTACAGCATCCTGGCCTCTACACAGCAGATGTCAGTAGCATCCTCCTGCCCTGTGGCCACCAAAAATGTCCCTGGACATTGCTAAGGGAGCCCTGAGAGGCGCAAATCACCCCTGATTCACAGCCTCTGGGTCAGAGCTCACACATTCTATTTCAATGCGGCCCTCTGACATGTTTGATGCAGCCTGCTGGGGAGTTTAAGTATTTTAAAAAATTAACTCACAAAACTTATAAGCTATTTTTATATAAGCAGCTTCTGATGGAAAGTCAGAACTGGCCACTGTGGTCTGGCAGATATGGGCGGCAGGGGAGCGGCCGTTGTTCTGTTTAGGTTCTCTGTCTCTGTCTGTCTGTCTGTCTCTCTCTCTCTCTCTCTCTCTCTCTCTCTCTCTCTCTCTCTCTCTGTGTCACACACACACACACACACACACACACACGCACGCACAGTCTTTCTTCTCTGGACACTCCATTTCCTCCCCTGCTCTTAGCCACCACCATCTGAAATCATTAGGATTCATCCCTTGGTAGCAACCACTTTTTTGGCGGGCTTAGAAGAAGCAGATTAAAAAAAAAAAATCCGTAACCACAGAGCGCTTAGGCACTCCATTCATTCGTATTCCAACTCATTAGCCACGTATTTACAAAAGACAAAATGCTCTCGGCCGAACACATTTTGTAAAAATTCCTAGTGAAAATCCAGACCGACAAGCACTTAGCAAGCGCTCACCAAGGGCAAGGCATTCTGACACGGCCCGCAAAGACCGAAAACCGCCGCGCAAGACGCAGCCCTGGATCCGAAGGCAGCTGGCCTGGAGGGAGAGGCAGGCGCTCTCCCGGCAACTATAATAAGAACAGAAAGACACGGGGGCGCGTAGGGAAGGTGGGGGGAAGCAGCGCTGGGAGACGTTCATCCCTGGGAGGGGAGAGGTTCATTCTTGCTGCTGATATTAAATTAATAAAATGGGAAAGAGAACCTTCTTCGCCATGTAAATCTTTCCAGGGAGGCCCTCCAAAATCTTCTTTAAAAAATGTTTTTATTGCTGTTGCTATTTTTGTATCTTATTCATGATCTCCCTGGGAAGGACCCACACATTCTTCAAAGCCCAGGACAAAGATCATCTCATTGCTGGCATCGCCCCGAGTCCGTCCGATTCTCGGGACATTTCTTATATCCCCTTCCAGGCTGGACACAGCTGGAAAACACCAGTCCAGTTCGGACTCTGGTCCCGCCTGAGCCCCACACTGCAAGTGCTTCGTGAATATTTGTTTGATGAAGTTCTAGCCCTCTTTTTCTAAAATCAATGTCATTGCTGCAGAAAACTGTTAAAATAAAAGCAGCCAAAATGTGTAAAAACGACTTTCAAGAAATATCTCCAGTCTTAGCAGACCGTTAGAATTCACCCCCATTCTGCTTGTTTCTTTGTTTCCAATTCCGAATTTGGGGCTAGATGTGGTAGGTAGTCCCCCTTTTAATCTTTAAATATAGTTCTGAATATAATTACATTTTTATGCAGCACCGAAACATCATATCCTGGTAACGGGGCATTCCTGCGCTATTAACATCTGAGTTAAATCTCCTTCGCGTCTGTCTTCTATTGCGGACAGTTAGGAAGTATAAGATGAAAGTGATCGACATCATTTGTGAATTATGTGTATTTCCTTATGCTGTATTGGAAAGGGTTTTGCTCCTGGTGGTTTTGCATGTGTGAATACCAGGTTGTCTGGTAGCCCGGCTTTCACCAAGAACCCCTTTCAAGATGTGGTCCCAGCGCCCTGGCAGGGAACACACGCACCATGTTTAGAGTGAGGCTCCCTTTGGGATAAGAAATGCGTTCATGGTGTGGGGCTCCTTGCCAAGGAGGTCGATCTGTCTAGTAAGTGGCCTGGGGCACAGGGGCCAGCAGGGAGGTAACCGGACAGGTCCAAACAGAAGCAATTTGCTTGGTGCCGGGCGCCCTCCCAGCCAACTCTGCTATCTCATCTCCGACACCACTGAATTTTTACTTTCTAGGCGACAATACTGAAGCCAATCAAGAGTAAGTGCCCCCCACCCCAGCTCCTGCAGCTGTCTGGGCTGCTGATGTGCATTGTCCTCTATCCCACAGCTTCAACTCCACAGCCAGGGACCGTGTCCCTATGTCACTCTTGTCCTTACGCCCACACCAGCCAGTGTGGCTTGGCTGTCACTCCCACCCCCAGTTGGATTGGGACCTCTCCAATCCAGGAGCTCGAAATCGTCACAGAAGAAAGGGCCACGAGGCCAAGGGAAGAGGATTCACACACGTGCAACTTCGCAGCAAGCACATCCGGGGTGTTTCACTTACCCACGCACCGGAAGTAGTTCTCCGCTGTCCAGAGCACTGGGGTAGCAGACTCGGTGAATTCCAGGCTCAGGTCCACGCTGTAGAAAGCCTGCGTGCCTGGGGCTCCTCGGGGCTCCTGGCACGGCTGTGAGCACGAGGAATTAGTTGCAAGTGGCAGAGTGTGCTAGGTGCCCTGCGGCTGCCCTCGATGGCAACAGCGCTGAGGGACGTAAGTAGCCAAGTCCCTTCCCAGCCAGCCCTTACGGAGCTGCTCTGCACACTTCTGACTTCCTGTGGTGGCCAAAGAAGGGGCAGGAAGCAACGTCACCAGGATACTGACCTGGGCCTGGAGCAGCGCAGCCGCTGGGATGCTGACCACCACGAAATCCTTGCTCTCCGTCACTGTGGAGGTGCTGGCCTGGTGCACTTGGAGGGACTTTAGGCTCAGGGCTTCCTCAAAGTGAGAACCTCTTTTGACCAGGCCCAGCCTCTGCCGTGGGATGTGGACTAAGACCTCCGACCCTGGCCGGGACGACACTGGAACAGGAAGCACGCTCGACCCAGAGAAAGATACAGTGCGGCATGCAGGGATGAGATGGCAGCAGGGCACCAGCCAAGAGCCTGCGGCCACCGCTGCACACCACTGGGGTTGGAGACAGTGGATTCCTCACTGTTCTGGGATCACTGCTAGGGCGTGAACTTAGAAGCAGGATGAAAAAGAGAAGAAAAATACACCGTCCTCAAACACCTGGGGCATACTGCTATTTATTCTAGAAGGCCCATAACAAAGCAGAGGCCAGGAGCAGGCTGCCTCTAAGAACCCATAGAAATGCCTCTGCCCAGACCATCTTCAGCTTCGTGACCCAACTTAGTGCCCCTTCCATTGCCAAAGCTGCTCTTAAGAAACACGGCTCATATCAGTTGTTTACACTTTAGCAAGAATTTCGTTGTGTCAGCCCTCTCACCGGGGACATTTTCAGCCAGCTCTGCAGTTGTTAAATGCAAGCATTTGTCTCCAAATAAAGCAATTCCAAATATCACGAACAGGGAAGGAGATGTCCGTGAGCTCGGCAAGGCCATCCCTGGTGCCCGTAACCCCCCAGAGCCCTGATGCTGAAACTTCACCTATGATAAAATTCCATACAAATGTGAAGTGCTAGTCACCTCCGATCTACGCACACAGGATGAAGCCTTTGATCCACCTAACTTTGCATACTGAGTTCTTCAGAATTTAAATTCCCTGGAGGGAGGAAGTGGGCTTCCGGATTCCGGCTCCTTTGTGTTACACAAGGTGCATGGTAATGGTGTCACCCCAAGGTGAGTGAAATCGGTAGCACCCGCGAGGTCTAAAGCAGGGGTCCCACTGCCACCAGGACCCAGAGCCCTGCGGGGATCTGAGGAAGACTGCAGAGCCTCTTCTGTCCTTGTCCTCAGAGCCTGTGGGACCTCCCTCCCAAGAATTCCTCCACCCCCGACTCCACGGCCCTCAGGAGATAACTGCTTCGCATGCAGCTCCACGCGTGGCCCAGCCCGGGCACAGACACACATCTTCCGGCTAGAGCCAACTTCTCTTTGTCTCAAGTATTTCAAGAATTCAAGACCAAGGATGGGCTAAAAAGGAGCGGTGAAGTGGGAGAGAGGGGAATAAGTCTAGGGGAGAGGGGGAAGCAGGGGGACAGAGCGTGACGACGTCGGAGGGACAGGCCCTGGGGCGCTCCCGGGTCTTACCCGGTGGGCACGCAGCCTCTAAGGAATAGGCATAGCCGCCGCTCACCAGCCAGAGCGGCAGCAGCTCCACAGACTTGTTCAGCACCTGGGGAAGCAGGAGGGGCCCCTGTGACCACTGAAAAGCTCCCTCCGTGGGGCCCCCCAACCTTCTAACTAGTCTCTGGACCAAACCCCCAAATGTTGTGAAGCCCAGGTCAGGGTCGATCGCTCCAGTGCAACCAGGAAATATTATTTAGCTGGGATATTTTTAGCAGGAAGTGAGCTGGGAGCAAATGTCATGTGAGCCGTCTTCTCTTACACGGCAACTTTGGGCTATTTAAAGAGATGGTAATTACGCTCCTGCCACCATGATCAGGATGCGCTGAATACATGATTGCAGAAGCCCCCCGTCTGCCGAGCAGAGCACTTTACGCTAATGGGGCCCAATTTTCGAGGCTGCTGCCTAAATCTGTCCAGTGCCACAGGTGGACATTTGAATTGGCACCGGAGGGGTGGCACAGTGCTCATCGGGCTGCCAGGCTGCAGAGCTCCCCGCCCAAGCCTGGCAGGGCCTGCTGCCCCCTACTGACCGCCTGCCTCTGAAGAAGGTCTTGTCTTGGGCTCTGGACGGTGACCATGGTGGTGCTGATGTCCACATACAGTCCCATCAGACTGGCATCCTCCAGAGAGGCCACCAGCTCCCCTCGAAGAGACAGCAGCCAGGGGTTCTGGAGAAACAGGACACGTGCACAAACCGCCGGGCCAGGGCGACACTTGCCAGGCGTCATGGGGAATGGAGACTTGGGACACCCAGGCGGATGACAAGGCCATCGAGAGAATGGGCTAGCCCAGGGGACACTGGTAGCCACTCAGGGAGCCCTGCAAACTGTACCCTGACTCCCTTGTGTGAGGCGAGCAGGCCACTCTGGAGGTGCTAGGCACACAGCAGCCGCCTCTGTACCCCTGACAGGAAAGCCAGCCAGTCAGCTGTGTCCTTGGTTCTGGTCGCCACCCTTTAGTGGGACATTGGCAATCAGGGCTTTGAATGAGGTGGCGATGATGGTGGAAGACGGACAGGGAGGGACCCAGGCCCCCATCCTAGGAGTGGCAGGAGGAGCTTGGGGGAGCTGGGAGGTGGAGAAGCAGCCCAGCGCCTCCCAGAGGCTGGGGAACAGAGGGCCAGAAGAAAGGCAGAATGACACCTGTGCAAGGTAGAAGCAGGTGGCCTTGTAAAGGAAGAGCTCCTGCCACCAGGGAGAACTTCAACATGAAAGGACTCCAGAGGCTTCCAGCCCAGGCCCCTCCCCGGGCTGGGTCGCCTCTTCAGCAGTCCTCTCAGGTGTCCTCAGGCACTGCCCAGAGCCTGAGCCAGGCACACTGGCGCACACCTGTAATCCCAGCACTCGGGAGGCTGAGGCAGGAGGATCGTTGCAAGCTTGAGACCAGCCTGGGCTATAAGGTGAGCTTAAGGCCAGCCTGTGCTGCATAGCAAGACTTTGCCTCAAAAAGACAAAAAAAAGAAGGACACAGGCGCAGAAAGGTTGGCGTTGTCCACAGGAAGATGGGGAATCAAAACCTTCTGCCACATAGCATCCCTGAGCACTCTGCAGGACGAACCTTCCAGAGGTTGCTGCTGCCCCACCTACCTGTCTACTGTCGCTCCTCAGGGGCAGAGGCCGGGAGACCTGCAGAACAGAGAAGAAGCAACATCTCCTGGCACACAATGGGCGAAGGTGAGCAGGTTCGCGTTTGTGCTGAGCGCTCAAGCGCTGGCAATTACCCCAGCAGGAGGCCGGCGAGAGCCAGGCAGCTGGGGTGTTTGCTCATTAAGACAAGAAAATCATTTATGTTCTGGGACTCAAGTGTCAACAGACCCGGGGAAATGTCGCCGCCTCAGCTGCTGCCCTGGGCTGGGCCAAGGGGGCAGCTGGGGCACTGGGCACAGCTGGCGAAGCCAAGGGTGGGTGTGTATGGCACAGACGGAGGCCGCTGCTCAGAACGAGGTCCCTAGTCCTCCTCCGGGGCCTCCCGCCCCGTCCTGTCCTGAGTTCACCCATTTCTTCTTCGCCCTCTTTCTTTCCATGGGATCCAAAAGCAAAGGCAGAGAGAGCATGCGGCTCAAAGGCCAGAAAGTGTGTCTGCGCCCGCCAAGCGCACCATACTCAGGGTGACGCCCATGCCAGGCTCCCCAGGATGGAGTCCCATGCGGACTTGCAGTGCCGAACGCAGGACAGTCCCGGTCACATCAGGACGGCCACCCTGTGGAGTGACACCTCCGTCCCTTCTCGGCCCCGCCCCCGCCCGCGCCCCTGCTGTGGGCAGCGCGGCCTCCTCCAGGCTCTCCTCCTGGCTTCTGCTTTCTCCACCCCTGGCCCCCAGTTGCTTTTGCTGCAGACCTAGGTCTGGAGGGGAGGCCGAGGCACGGGTCAGAGTCCCGGAGGAAGTCCCGGGTCCCTCAGCCTTCTCAGGGCTCCAGCTCTGCTGTCCCCTGGCCCCAAAGAGCCCCCCCCCCCCATTGCCAGGCTCGGGACGACTTCGGGAAGCCCTGCAACTTCCTCGTCCTTGGAGGTGCCACCTTTACCCCGGGGCAGAGAAGGTGCCTAATGAGAGGGTAGGAAAGAGGGCTCCCCATTTCCAGGGTTTCCCCCGCCCCCACCCCACCCTACCCGACCCTGACCACAGCTGAGGAAGCCAGTGCAGCCCCGGAGCTGGACTTTAGGAAAGAGGGCAATGATTCTGCTAAAAGGAAGGAGAGACGAGGCGCTCAGCCGCCCTCTCAGCCCCCACGCACAGGCTATATTTAGGGCCCGCGGACGTCCGCTGGACCTGGGCGGCCTTCACTGGGAGCGCGCGCTAATCACTGCGTCGAGTTTACGGGTGCCCCTGGGCACACTTAACCCAGGGCAATGAATAGTTATTGCTCGGCCTCCTGCTCGGGGCCTGTGGGCACACTTAAGCAAGCCGGCGGATCGCTGCGAGCGGGGCACGGCTCGGGTACACCCTTGGGCACCCTGCACCATCGGCAGGAGAGGCAGAGTATTAAATATCTATGTGCCCTGTGCTCACAGCTGCATTTAGCCAAGGGCAAGGCCGGTGGAACAGCTTTAATTAAAACTTAATGCGAGTTCAAGGTGCAGCCACGGAAGCCGTGGAGGCAGAAGTCACCAGGAATGAATCAGGCAGTTGGACGAGGGTCTCCGAAGGGGGAAGCGGGGGGCGGGGACGGGGGCGGTGAGACCCTGTCTTCTGTGCTGCCCGCTTCTCTGTGACTGTCCGGGGAGCCCCAGAGGCTCCCACACCTCGGCTGAGGGAGGACGGTACCGATTAGGGTTCCCAGGTTTCAAAAGCAGGTGGACAGCGACAAAGCAGCTGCCCGGCCGGGAGCAGTTTTGCTGTTCTCTGCAATTCCGCCAAGTGTCCGGACGCCGGCCGCGCTGGCCCCCTAGCGGCAGCTCCTAGAATTACAGGCCCGCTGCGGAGGGCAAGGGACCAGCCCGGGACCGTCACACATATGTCCCAGAGGTTGTGCTCGAGGATTAACGGCTGTAAAAGCGCAGGTGGGCAGAGAGGCCCCCTCGGCCTCAGCCGCTGCTCCTGCAGTTTGGGAAACAAAAGTGTCCCAGTGCCCACCAGTGTCCACCACAGGAGCAATCTGGGCTAGGAGGCTGGACAGCCCGGGTCTCTATGTTGTCTCTCTGGGAGACTCTTCCAGCCCCAGCACATGCCTTGGAAAATCTAGACTGGGCTGAGAGAATAAAACTACTGCCCTTCCGGAGGCCAGGGTCTCAGTTCTATTCAAATCTGTTCCTTTAGCACTACCCCGATGGCAGCATATAGTAGGTGCTACATAAATGTTTGTGGAATGACTGGTAGTTGTCATTAGCAGCCTTTTCATTCCAACCTCCTCCCATTTTTCCTTTCCTTTTTATCCTTCCTCCTTCCTTCTCTCCTTCCTTTCTTGTACCCTCAGGCCAAAACATCACACTCAGAATTTTGTTTGCGCTTTTTTTTTTCAGGGCTGGGGATCCAACCCAGAGCCTTGTATATGCTAAGTAAGTGCTTTACACTGATCCACACTCCCAGCTGGAAGTCAACCTTTTAAAATGAGATTTCATGCATAACTATAGATTTCCTGTTTCTCCTTTTTTCTCCCTTCAAGACTGAGTGACTGCTGGGGATATAGCTCAGTGGCACAAGCACCTGCCTGGCAAGAACAAGGTCCTGAGTTTGATTCCTGATTTAAAAAAAAAAAAAAGGACTGAGCAACATCCCCAGGGCTTATTTATTTATTTATTTATTTATTTATTTATTTGTCTTTTGAGACAGGGTCTCACTATGAAGTTCAGACTGGCCTTGAGCTCACTTTGTAGCCCAGGTTGGTCTCAAACTTGCAATGATCCTCCTGCCTCAGCCTCCCGAGTGCTGGGATTACAGGCGTGCGCCACCACACCTTGCACTAGTTATTATTTATTTACTTTTACGACAGACTTGCCCTACATCTCTAAATTGCCCAGGCTAGGCCTGAACTTTCAATGCTCCTGCCTCAGCCTCAGCCTCCCAGAGTGCTGGGATTACGGTCATGTCCAGCACCACACCCAGCTCCCCAACTCTCTTAAAAAGCTGGCGACTCTGGCATCACAGGGGGAAGCTGAGTAGCGCTGCTCTTTGTGGGACCCAGGTTCGAGGCTGTGACTGCCCCAGCTCTGCCACAGGCCCCAGCACTTAACCGCTGCAGACCTCGGGCCGCCTAAACTCCACTTGGTTCTCTGTCTGCAGAGTGGGGATGGCGGCACCCAGCAGCTAGGCTTGCTACAAAGGGGAAGTGAGTTAATATTTATAAAGTGCTGTGACCATGCCCGGCACAGGGTGGGGGCGCTTCCCTAGTGTTGTCTGAACAGCGAAGACCCGAGCTGAATTCCTTACGGCTTCCTCACCCTGACACGCTCATTTCTGCTGCGCATTTGGCCCCTGCGGACACTGAGGTCTGCAGCTCCCCTGCCCTCGGGTCTCCCAAGGGCTGGAGAGAAAGCTGACTTCAAGGAACACACCAGAACGGAAAGCAGTCGCAGCTGGAGCTTGGCATGGGTCCTGTGCCCTGGGCTTTCAAGCAGAGCTCCTACACTCGCAGAAGAACCCTTCCTCTCCTCCCCAGCCCTCTACCCTCCAGCTCGCTGGCAAGTGCGCCACCCCGAGCCACACTCCTGGGCCGGAGCTAATAATTCCCTGACCCGGGTTAAAAAGGAACATTCAAACCAGCGATTCCTACGGATCCTGAGGGCCAGGGCACAAAGACACCATTGTACGGCTTTGGGGATCATCCCGGTGGCCCCCCTGGGCCGGCCACATGGGAAGCGGAGAACAGGAGTTCAGAGACCTTTCACCTCAGCCCCTAGGCACGCTCCTACCCCGTCTCAGTCCCCGTTGCTCGACCGCAGCCTGGCCTGGTGGAACTTGGCCGCCAGCCAGCACCCACGAGGGCCTGCACCTCCAGCTGCTGCCTCTGCCCTGCCACGTCCTGAGGCTCAGGAGCCATGGCCGCACGCCTGGGCCTTCGGAGAGGAGCCCAGCCCGCCTGCCCTCTGAGCCCGTTACCCGGATGAACGTGGGGTCGCAGTGGACGCTCTGTCTGCCCAGCCTGGATACAGTTGCAGGACACTTCATTACGTAGCCTACGCTCCGCTCCAGCCTCTTCACCCCTTGGTGAAGCATTCTGATTTCCAACCTGTAATTTTCTCTCTGCCAATAAAGCAAAAGTCATCTGTGCAAATGAAAGAAGAAAACAGCTAATAGGCCGCAATTATAGGTCAGTGACTATTCGCAGCAGTGCGGTCAGCACGGGCCCTGAAAGTGGGCCCGTCTCACGGAAGAAGGGTGAGACGTGAGACCGAGCCGGGCAGGGATGAGGAGTTGAGTCCAGCTGCTTGGATCCAGCAAGTCAGCATTAGCCCCCATCAGGGAAGCCCTTGGGGCTGGGGACAGTTGGGGATCTCAGGAAGGTCACCCTTGTACCCCTACATCCCTTAACATTGGCAAACACTGGCTCAGACCCTGTCTGCTTAGACCCTCACCGACGACTCAGAAGAGGCTCTCTGATTCCCATTTGACAGATGGGGCAGTTGAGGCTTGGTGGAAGTAAGTGACTAAGTGAAAGGCAGGTGGTCACTCCTGAGTCTGGACACAGCTCCTGGGGGCCTCATCCCTGCACTCTACGTGTGAAGTGCAGCTTCACAGACATCCAGCCAAGGAATCCCTTGTGGTGCCCACTCCAACCTCCTCCAGCTGCAGGAAAGCCAGGTGTGAGCTCTGTGGGCACCTGAGGCAGGCATGAACGGGGCAAGGGGCTGTCAGAGAAGGGGGAGGACTGGAAGAAGAGAAAGGGGGCTGTGAGCCCCCCAGGAGGGACCTCAGCCCTCCAGGGAAAACGGGGCTTGGCCTAGTAGGGAGGATGAAGTTGTGATACACAGAGGGAACGGAGGAGCGGTGGAAAAGGAAGTGGGGCCTTTTTAAGCTGGACGCGGTGGCAGACGCCTGTAATCCTAGCACTTGGGAGGCTGAGGCAGGAGGATTGCTGTGAGTTCAAGACCAGCCTGGGCTACAAAGTGAGCTCAAGTTCAGCCTGAACTGCAGAGCGAGACCCTGTCTTTAAAAAAAGACCAAAAAGAAAGAAAGAAAGAAAACAAATGGGAAACCACACTGCTTTTGCACAAGTGACAGAATCATGGGGTCCTGTGAGCACACGTGGGGCCCGTGCAGGTGAGGGCAGGCAAGCAACCTCTGCAACCCCTCAGCACCTTTGTCCCCCTCCTGGCGGGCTTGCTGAGCATCTGCTGTGTGCTGGCCCCCTGGCAGGGGACGGCTGCGCACCGGAAGGGAAGATGCTTTGCCTGAGCCACCACTGCAGAGCCTTCCTGATGGCCGGGGAGCCACTCGAGGCGCAGCATGCGCCTGGGCCGTGGAAGGCTCTGGGTTCCAGCCCCAGCACCACAAGGAGAAGTTTTCCCAGACACACCTCCTTTCGCACGAAGCAGGCCGAGTATAGAGCTCGGAAAATGAAGTTGCCGTCCGGAGCAGGATGCAGGAAGTAGCCACATTGGGCAAGAAGAGAATCCAGCTGGCCGGGGGCCCTCAGGGTGCCTGAGGTGGGAAAGGGACAGGCCTGAGGTGGAGCAGCTGAGGCTACGTCCCATCTCCAGGTCCCCTATAGGTTCTTCTCCTCTCTGACCTCCTCTCCCACTTCTCCAAACCTCCCTCCCTTTGTTCCTGCCTGCTGTACCCCAAACATCCCAGGCCTATTGCTGCCTCAGGGCCTTTGCACTGGCTATGCCTGCTACTTAGAACTCTTCCTTCCTTTCTTTCTTTCTTTCTTCCTTCCTTCCTTCCTTCCTTCCTTTCCCCAATATTAAGGATCAGACACAGACTTTGCACATACTAGGCAAGCCCTCTACCACTGAGCTACATCCCAATCCTCTTTATCTTTATTTTACTTTGCAAAACAGTCTGGCTATGTTTCCCAGGCTGACCTCCTGCCTCAACTCCAGAGTAGCTGGGATCACAGGCTTGTGCCACCACGCCAGGCTGCCTGGATATGTGCATGGCTCACTTCACCTCCAAGTCTGTACAAAAGTCACCTGCATGAAGCTGGCATGCTGGTACACATCTGTAATCCTGGTACTCAGGAGGCTGAGGCAGGATGATCACTGTGAATTCAAGGCCAGCCTGGGATACATAGTGAGTTCAAGTCCAGCCTGAACCACATAGCGAGACACTGTCTCAAAAAACAAAACAAAACAAAAAAGCCACCTCCAGGAAGCCCACCCTGACCACCACCTTCTTATCCCTGGCTCTTGTGACCCCCTGACCTCCTATCTAATTGACTTCAGATTATAGCAGTCATTCGTTGCTCTGCTCTCCAACATCAGCTCTGGGCGCCAGAAGTATTTGTCTGTTTTGTTCCTGCTACATCCTAGCACCTTAAGCCGCGCCTGGCATGTGGAGGGCTCTCAGGAAATATTTGTTGGATGAGTGAAATATAAAAAGGGATATCATTGAGGAGAGGGATTATGGGCAGTTTTTATTATCTTCTTTGGATTTCCTCTAGTTTCCATAATTATCTTGTAGTGCTTTTGTCATGGTTTTGTACAAAGCCATTTTTTCCAAGCCACAGTTTCAGTTTTCAATCCTCAACCGAGTCGTTGACTGGCAGACGCATGCGCTGCTGCGGACGCCCGCCGGGGCGGCCCGTTGCGGGGGGAGTGGGCGCTCTCTGGCGACAGCTTCGCTTTTCGAGGCATTGCTTGCGCCGCTATCTTTAGCAAGAGATCAAGGCCGCGCCTCCGGAAAGGGAGGTTCTGAAAGGGAGCTCGCTGGGGAAATAAAGTGTCTAAGCCTGGATGTGCAAATTGACCTGGATCGTTTTAGTTTTGCATTCACGTTTGCACTTTGTAAATATTTGCCTGGCTTCCTGCTGCTCACACCTGCTTGCTGTCCCTTCAAGTTTATGGAAGGCGGCAGGCACCGTCATTTCTCCGTCCCCACCTGGTGCCGCCGCTGCCGCGAAATAAAAACTCCCTTCAAAGCCACAGGTGTCTCTGACAGCGCCTAAAACTAATGGCTTGTGGCTGGCCGCTGTGACTAATTCTCTGATTATTGACTTTATGATTTTACGCTTAAAACTTCTTGATAATAACACACAGAAATGTTTAATGGGCTCTATCCAGAGCCATAAAAATTACTTATTGAACAAGCGTTTTAAAACTGTTAATCTATTGTTTTCTATTAATAATGGCCCTCCAAAGAACAGGCGACAGCTTAATGTATCCTCCCCATTTCTCCTGGAAAAGGGGCCTTTTAATACACCAATGCCACGCCACGGTGTCACGGGCTGGCTGGCCTGTTGATCAGCCACTGACCGTCCCAAGATGGATTCAGGCCACACCAGACCCACATGGTGCTGTACAAATTTCCAGAATGTTCTGGGCATAGTGGCCCTTGCCTGTAATCCCAGCTCTCACGGGGCTGAGGCAGGAGGAGTTACCTCGAGTTCAAGGCCAGCCTGGGTATGCAGTGAGTTCAAGGCCCGCCTGAACTACACAGCAAGAACCTGTCTTAAAGCAAACAAATAAAAGATCCAAGATGAACAGGGTCCTTGGGGCTTTTGCTAGACTTTGGGGAAAATGCAGAAGTCCCTCTTCTTGATTTCTCCCTTATTGTTCAAAGGAGAGGAGAAATTCTGAGAATTCACTTTGCAGCGCCCAAGATGGAAAACAGGAAGTGGCTAGTGGTACGGCTCACTCTTCTTTTCCTTCCAGAAGTTTCCAGAAGGTTCTGGGTAATCTTCTCATGGTATCTACCCTCTTTCCACTTTTCCTGTTGGCAAACTCATGGCTGAGGGTTTCAGAAAGTAAACTGGGCCCTTGGATGTTTTGGGGGCACTATTTGCCCCTCTCCTCACATCTCTTCTTTTCCTGGGCGGTTGAGGTTTTGGAGCATCTCGGCAGCAGATGGGCATTTCTTGCCAGGCTTCAGCCATGTGTTCACTCAGCAAATATTTACCACAATGTCCTAAACATCAGCAGTGTCCCCAGATACACCAGCTAGAAGCAAGGGCTGTGCTTGCTCCCGGCTCCTTCCAGCGGTGGGGAGCACAGGTAAGAAGTGTGTGACCAGTGAGATGATACCATGACTGCTGGTGTGGAAAGAGAAAGCCCTGGGGAGGGCATCTGAGCAGATCTGAGAGGCAGAAAGAGCCCCACAGAAGAGGCAGTGAAGGAGGAAAGTCAGTGCCAAGGGCCTGGGGCAGACACAAGGGGCTAGCGCTTTCCAGACAATGGCTGTCCCTTACCTGGCAGCTGCAGGATTCTGCCCAGCCACCGCCTCAAACCCGCCACATGGCTCCTCGGGATCGGCAGAGTCATGTAGTCTGAGAAGCACTCCACCTTGTCTGTTGGACAAGAAGATACTTTTAAGCTGGGGGTGGTGGCACATGCCTGTAATCCTAACACTCAGGAGGCTGAGGCAGGAGGATCATTTTGAGTTTATGACCAGCCTGAGCTATGTAGTGAGCTCAAGGCCAGCCTGAACTACACAGTGATGAACCTAGCTAAAAATAAACCTTCTGGGAAGAAAGGGAGAGGGAAAAGGAAGGGTAAACGGACTTCCTCTCGGTTCTGATTCTGTGGAGCTGTTAGGAAAGGGCAGTAGAAGTCAGCGTCATAACCGGCAACATCCTTTACTTCTCAGAGGCACAGAAGGTCCAGGAAGAAAAACCTCAGGGCGAAGCACCCGGATTTCAGTGTGCCTACAGCTCACCTGGTGCCTGTCAAAACACGCAGTCAGCAGGTCGCATTAGGGCTTGAAGGCAGCAGTTGTAACCTGCCTAAATGATGTCCATTCTGCTGGCCCAGGGACCACGCTTTGAGTGGCCAGGCCCCAGAGATCACAAATCTAACCACTGTGTTTTACAGGGGGCTTAACGGTGCTGAAGGAGAGCACCTGGCGCTGAGTCCCACCTCTGTTGTGTGTGTGTGTGTGTGTGTGTGTGTGTCTGTTGCTTGAATTTCTTCCTGTGCTTTTCTTACACCATGATGATGCTGGTGGTTGGGAGATGGGGATGGAGATGATGATGGTAATGGTTCCAGTGATGGCGATGGTGGTGCTGATGGTGGTGGTGGTGGTCATGGTGGTGATGACAGCGATGGTGATGGTGGTGTGGGTCATGGTGGTGATAATTCTGATAGGGGAAGTCACGATGGTAGCAGTCATGATGCTGATAATGATGCTGATTCTAATGATGGTACTGGTGAAGTGGTGGCATGAAGGTGATGGTGGTGATGGTGGTGATGGTAGTAATCATGGTGATGGTGGTGATGGTAATATGGCAGTAGTAATGGGGTGGTGCTGATAATGGAGGTGATGATAATGGAGATAGTGATAATGGATGTGGTGATGGTGATGATGGTAGTAGTCATGGTGATGGTGATAGTGGTGATGATGGTGATGGTGGTAGTCATGGTGACGGTGACACTGGAGATGGTGATAATCATGGTGATGGTGGTGATGGTGATGGTGGTAGTCATGATGATGGTGATGATGATGATGGAGCTGGAGATGGTGATGGTAGTTATAGTGATGGTGGTAGTCATGGTGATGGTGAGGATGGTGATGATGATAGTGATGGTGATGATGGAGATGGTGATGATGATGATGGTGATAATGATGACAACGTTGGTGATGGTGGTAGTCATGGTGATGATAATGATAATGATGATAGTGATGATGATGATGGTAGTGATCGTGATGGGCATGGTCATGATTATGACAATGGTAGTGATGGTGATGATGGTGGTAGTCGTGGTGATGGTGATGTGGTACTCATGGCGATGGTGATGTGGTAGTCATGGTGATGGTAATGATAATGATGATGGTGATGATGATGGTAGTGATGTACGGGCATAGTGATGATTCTGATAATGGTGGTGATGGTGATGGTGGTGGTCATGGTGATGATAATGATAATGATGATGGTAGTGATGGTGATGGGCATGGTCATGATTATGACAATGGTGGTGATGGTGATGATGGTGGTAGTCGTGGTGATGGTGATGTGGTAGTCATGGTGATGGTAATGATAATGATGATGGTAATGATGATGGTAGTGATGGTATGGGCATAGTGATGATTCTGATAATGATGGTGATGGTGGTGATCATGGTGATGGTAGTAGTAACAGTGCTAACGGTGATAGTGGTGACCTGACACTGAGGATGGTCGCAGTGAAGGTGGTGGTCATGATGGTGATGATGACACTTCAAAGGATGATATGACCCTGAATGAGTTCCTGTGTCTAAAGGTCTTCACAGGTTCTCACCACAGAGCTTGTGCCTAAAGATGACAGCTCTTGTCATGATGATAGCTAATTTCATCCAGAGATGAAAGGACTTGTCCTGGTCACGGAGCAGCAGGAGCAGGGCCCTAAACTCTCCACTCGCCAGCTCATCACATAGCCAGAAAAATTAGAGCACCAGAGAAATTGAGTACATATCACAGTGCATCTGACCCCAAATTTGTACTAACCAATACCATGTTCTGCTGCTGCTCAAGGTCATCCTGCCATGGTGTGGACGTTTGACACTCAGCGCAATTTTTGGTAGGAGGGTTGAGACAAAGTCTCACTTTGTAGTTCAGGCTGGCTTTGAACTCTATGTAACCCAGGCTGGCCTTGAACTCATGGCAATCCTCCTGCCTCAGCCTCCCAAGTGCTGGGATTACAGGCATGTGCCACAACCACCCAGCTACCCAGTGCAATTTAAAAGGTCTGAATAGGCACCAAGTCAGTCACTTGACTCATAAAAGTGGGGTGAGGTGAGTAGCTCATCCTCACAGCTCTACAGCTGAGCCATAGACTCCAGGCCAAGGTAGAGACACCCAGCCCTGGCCCTGCCAGGCCCCAGTCATTCTCAACACACAGGGATCTTAAAATGGAAATGACAGTATGGCCGCCCCTCCTCAAAACCTTCAGTGGTCCCCTCCTGCCCTGGCAAAGTCCGTGCAGCCCTCCGTATGGTTACGTTCTCTTCCTCCTCCACACTTCAGCCAGGGTGGGCCTTCCCACATCACGCTTCTGCACACACTGTTCCATCTTCCTGAAACACCATTCCTGAGTGGGGGGCCTGTGCATGGAGGTGGAAGCTCAGGGCTCAGAGCCAGGGTGCAGCCACGTGACCAGGGCGAGTCCTCTCACCTCTCCAAGGCTCCCCACTTCCTCTTCTGCAAAATGGAGCCCTTTGCCCCTGCCAGTGTGAAGAACCTGGTAACTCTTAGAATGCCGTATCTGTTCGAATGCCTCTATTTACCCAGGGCAGTGGGCTGCCCTGATGCTCCAGCTAGTGTCATGATCTAGGTGGGGGGGGTCTTAGACCTCAGGTCTCAGCTCAGCGCTGCAGGTGCTCAGCCATGCCTAATCGGAGGGAGACAGGCAGGTGAGTGCTCCGGCTTGGAAGGCTTCCTCAAAGCCGAACTCACCCAGTGTCACCCAGCGGGAGGGTTGTGGGTCTACACGGTAGGGAATGCCCGAGGCCTGATACCGGTGCCAAAGCATGACCGAGTTACCCGTCTTACCTGTGGAAACTCCAAGCACAGGGCGCGGTCTTTCCCTGCCTGCCCTGAGGGGGAGGATCTGTGGGAACACCAAGTGCTGAATGCAGGCGACACAGATGGCCCTGCGGGGAGGAGGGGTGCACAGCTCAGCTGCTGCCTGTCTGCCTTCATACGGTCAATCGGGTATAATTGATTCCATCAAACATATATATTTTCCTCCGCTGTGGTTCTGGGGACTGAACCTCAAGCATGCTAGGCAAGGGCTCCACCAATGAGCTACATCTCCAGCCCTATTTATACTTATTCTGAGTGCCTGTCATAATGTGCAGCCACCCAAGGTACAGAAGGAGCAACCATAAACAAGTAAGGAAATAAATATGTGTCTGTTGTGGTGATTCACACCTATAATCCCAGCATTTGGGAGGCTGAGGCAGGAGGATCATTATGCATTCAAGGCCAGCCTGGGCTATAGAGCAAGACCCTGTCAAGAAAGAAGAAGGAAAGGAAGGAAGGAAGGAAGGAAGGAAGGAAGGAAGGAAGGAAGGAAGAAAGAAAGGAAGGAAGGAAGGAAGGAAGGAAGGAAGGAAGAAAGAAAGAAAGAAAGAAAGAAAGAAAGAAAGAAAAAGAAAGAAAGAAAAGAAAAGAAAAAAAGAAAGAAAGAAAGAAAGAAAGAAGAAAAAGAAAAAGAAAAAGAAAGAGAAAAAGAAAAGAGAGAAAGCAAAGCGAGAGAGGAAGAAAGGAAGGAGGGAGGAAGAGAGGAAGGGCAGGAGCGAAGTAATCTCAGGAGATGGTGAGGCCGTAGGAAAATGAAACACAGTATCTGAGGGGGAGAGGACAGGAGGCTTGTGTTAAAGGATAATTTTCAAAAAAAGTAACATCATGTCTCTCATACAGATTTAAAAAAAAAATAAGCCTGTGTTAAAGATTTTATTAACTTAATGAGGAGTCTGGCAGATGTTACAAGCAGTTCAAAGGAGAAGAAAGGACAGACACTTTTCCGCAGCAGAATGTTGAAATGAATTTGCAAATAGACTGGGGACTGGCTTCTCCCCCAGTGGAGAGGGGGCTCCCGTGCGCCCTGCCCGAGGTGGTTTATCCACATGTCCCCAACAGGTGCCATCTCCCTCGTCCTGGCACCGCAGACGGGCCCAAGGGCAGAGAAGGGAGTAGGCCAGCAGGACACACCAGCCCTCAACCGCGGCTGGTTTCCCATTGCAGAGTCAGTGACTTACAAAATGCTTTTGCTTATTCCAGCGTCCTCTGTGAAGCGACATGTCTCTGAGAGGTGACGCTAGGACCACGGTAGGACGTTGAGGAGTCCCCTGCCCAGATCCGGGGGCGGGGGCATCACACACAGTGGGACCCAAGTGCGGGGAATAAGTTCTGTGTGTTTAAGGAGCAGCAGCAGCAACAAGAAAGATCAACAGAGCCACAGCCGGGGGAAAGCGACAAGTAGTGGACCAGGGTGAGGACAGACAGGGGCCAGAGCCAGGAGGGCCACGGAGGACTGGTGAAGCTGGGATTTTACCACAAAAAATGACAAGAAATCTGGAGAACCCTAAGCCGGGAAGGGACAGAATCTCACGATTAAATAGGGTCCTTCTGTCTGCAGCATTTGCAGCCATTTAAAAATACCTACAGGGCTAGGGATATAGCTCGGCGGCACAGCTCCTGCCTGGCAAGCACAAGGTCCTGAGTTCGAATCCTGGTACCAAAATAAAACAAATAAATAGAAATAAAAACAACTGCAGAGCTCCAGTGTAGCTAGTGGTGCAGGGCTTGTCTGGCACAAGCGAGGGTGCAGCTCCACAAGAAAATAAAAACAAAGGGCTGGGGGTGTAACTCCGTGACAGTGTCTGCTTAGCATGTGGGAGAGCCTGGCTTCCATCCACAGGACCAAAACAACAAAAGAGAGAAGCTGGGCATGGTAGCGCACACCTATAATCCCAGCACTCTGGGAGGCTGAGGCAGGAGGATGATAAGTTTGAGCACAGGCTGGGCAACTTAGTGATTTAGGGAGATCCCATCTCAAAAATAAAAAAAAAAATCTTGAGACCATAATGCTAAGTGAAATAAATCATACACAAAAGCTTAGATATTGCACGGACTTTTTTATATAAGAAACACAAAGTATCAATAAATTTAAGAACAAAATAAAAGATAAATAGGAAACAGGGAAAGTAGATCTTTTGCAAATAGGAAGGGAACCAAGAGATGGGGGAGGGAGGGAAGTAAAAAGAATTAAAATGTGACCTGTACATATGCCAAGTTCCCATGATAAGTTTAATCTTTCATGATGTGTTATAAACATGTACTAGTAAAAATAAAAAATAAAATTAAAGATTTAAAATAAGAAAAGGGCTGGGAGCTGCACATGGTGGTGAACGCCTGTAATCCCAGTACTCGGGAGGCTGAGGCAGGAGGACTGTTGCAAGTTCGAGGCCAGCCTGGGCTACAAAGTGGGCTCAAGGCCAGCCTGAATAGTGAGACCCTGTCTCAAAATGACAAAAACAAAAAAAAGAAAAGGGCTGGGGGTGTAGCTCAGGATTTGGTGGAGTCAATAATACCCTGTACTACAAACAAACAAGTAAATAAATATATATAAAACACTGATCTGTGGATTTGGAAATCCAGGATACGGGTCCCAAATTTAGGGGAAGAAGGCAATAGTAAGGAATGATTGGGAAGATACCTTCGGTAGTACTTATGTGGGTGTTTGCTTTGGAATGAGAATGAGCCTTGAAGCCAGATGTGGTGACAAATGCCTGTAATCCCAGCACTCAGGAGGCTGAAGCAGGAGGATTTTCAGGAATTCAAGGCCAGTCTGCATAGTGAGTTCAAGACCAGCCTGAACTATATAGAGAGACTGTCTCAAATAACAACAACAAAAAAATGTGCCCTGCACATGAGTTGATGGGAGGAAAATGTGAAATACTTTAAAGTGGGCCCCCAAATTACTAGGTTTCTTCAATGAAAATATGGATATTGTCTAGTGCATTCTTAGGGTTTCTGTTTTTTTTTATTTTGGGGGGATTTTGGGGGGTCTTTTTGAGACAGGGTCTCACTATGCAGTTCAGGCTGGCCTTGAGGTCACTTTGTAGCCCAGGCTGGTCTCAAACTCTCATCTATCCTCCTGCCTCAGCCTCCCAAGTACTGGGATTACAGGCATGCAGCCCAGCTTTGATTCAATGTATCTTTCATCATTGAGGAGCTATTTTGCAACTCTGTAAATGGTAGAATACTGTACTGATAATCATGCAAACGATTTTTATCTAAAAAATGCAAATCCTGCCCAGGTGGAGTTGCAGTTGCTTACTGACCTGCAGATATTGACCAATTTTGCATGTATGACAGGAGTTTACCCTGCACTCCTGACTGCCTACATTTCCATCCAATGTTCTATGGATTGCCCTTTGAATTGACTGTAACATCTTACTGGTTCCCACATCAGTTAATGAGTTACATTAAACAAAGAAAATCTCTGATACATTTTCAAGGTTTTCTTTTTTTTGGCCCTTCAGGGGTTGAATCAGGGCCTCACATACGGTAACCCTCATGCTAGCCTACATCTCCAGTCCTAGACTTCAATTTTTAAAAAAAGATATATATATATATATATATATATATATATATATATATATATATATATATGTATGTATTTTTTTGTTTTTTGTTTTTTTTTTTTTTGGTTTGTTTTTTTTGGTTTTTCTCCAGTACCAGGAACCGAACTCACGACCTTGCGCTTGCCAGGCAGGCGCTTTGCCGCTGAGCTACACTGAGCCCTCGGTTCCTAGCTGGGATGAGGGCCAGGCCCCAAGGCTGAGCCCGGGGAAGGCCACTTGCCAAGGCCCACAGCCTCCCCAGAATGGGTTTCACAGAGGAGAGGATCATTTCATCAGCCCGGAATCCGAGCTGATCCTGCAGCCTTAGAGCGGGAAGGAGCCAGAGGTCGCACGGCCCCTACGCTTCAATTCCTGCCTCTGGAGGACAGAGGGGGGACCCTCTCTCAGGAGACGGCCTGCTCTCCAATCCCTGCTCCTCCTGGCTCTGCTGCTGGCACCCCTCTGCTCCTGCCAGGTAATCAACTTGCAGTCCACTGCCATGGCTGGGGCAATTGGGTTGAAGGAAGGTTCTCCAAGGGTGAGTAAATCTGGAGCTAGTGCAGGGACAGACACCCGGGAACAGAAAAGTTGTTTCTCTGACACTCAGCGCCATCCCCGGGCAGTGCTATAAAGAAAGTGCCCCGCCTCAGCCTTGCTAGAGGCCAGGACAGCCTTGCCCTCCTCCTGCACCTGCTCCTGAATCCGCCTTCAGCCTCGGTTGGGAGCAAAAGGTGAGCTTGGCTTTAGCCCACTCAGTCCTGGAGCTTAGCCCCTGAACTTGCCCTTCGCATCCTTGGGGGAGACACTCCGCCCCCAGTGCCAAGCGCCAAGGGCAGCACCCAGGAGAAGTAAGTGGGCCCCCGGCACAGGGCCAGGCCGCCTCTCTGTCGCCAGCCCCGCCCAGCTTCTCCATGGGCTTCCTTGTGCGGGGACTTGCAGAGCTCACAAAATGGAAACAAAGGTTCACAGTGAACGTCCCCAGGGCAACAGCTGGCTATTGCTGACCTTCAAGCTGGCTACCGCCCCCAGGAGCTTGTCAAAGGCTTTCTTTCTTTCTTCTTCCCTTTCTTTCTTCTTTCTCTCATACTGGAGATTGAACTCAGGGCCTTCACACTGAGCTACATCCCCAGCCCTTTCAGGATCTCACTAAATTGCCTAGGCTGGACTCCAACTTAGGATCCTCCTGCCTCAGCCTCCAGGAGTGCTGGGACTACTCAATGTATTCTTGTCTTTTTGTCTTTTTGAGGCAGGGTCTCACTATGCAGTTCAGGCTGGCCTTGAGCTCACTTTGTAGCCCAGGCTGGTCTCGAACTCACAACAATCCTCCTGCCTCAGCCTCCCGAGTGCTGGGATTACAGGCGTGCACCACCACTCCCGGCTACTCAGTGTATTCTTAATGGTGGACCTCAGCTGGGGAAGGGAGCCTGCAGTTCTGTGGCTGTGGACAGTAAGGTTTCCTCCTTACCCTTACAATTAATTGGTGACCAGGACTCTTGTCATCTGAAAACTCCTTGAAATTAGCACCTCCTGTTTACCCGAACACTAAATTCCTTGAAGGACTCCTCTAGGACAAACAAGGAGTGTTCTGCTTTCTCCCGGCCTTCTGAGAAGCTTCACAAGACCCCCTGACCTGGATTCCAGGACAGTGGGCCTGGGGAAGGTGAGAGTGACCCCAGCCCGCCCTCCCCGAGGAGGAGGCAGTGCTTGACAAAGCCCCACCGGCCTGACCAGGCCTCACCCATCCACTCCTCTCCCCTCCCACAGAGGTTCCTCGGTGCTAATGGGAAATACTTGCTTTCTGCTCCAAGCAAGTGGGGACCGATGGTCAGGACTCGCCTGAGGTCTCATGCCACAGTGTCCTGGCTAAGAGACACTTACCAGACAGCTGCCGGGGACCCCCGCATCCTCAGGCTTGCCAGCTGTCTCCCGCGGTGCCAAACTCATCAATGATGGGTCGGCTTGTCCCCGGCCCCTCCAGCTGCAGGAGTATCACTCAGGTGCCAAAAATCACAGGGAGCGCAGCACCTCTGGCTCCTCCCCACCCCTCCATGAGGTTAATTGCTTCAGCCCTGGGAGCGCAGGACCAGAAGGATGATCAAAGGGGACGCGGGATGGGGTACCACTGAGCTGCCCCAGCTTGGGGTCGAAGAGAGGCAGGGAGGGGCCTCAGCCTCAGCAGGGGTGGTCTGCCTCTTGGGGGGACAAGGAAAGAAGCAGAGATGCCGTCCTTAACCGGGGCAGGCAGTCACACTGCCGGGCCAGGCTTCCCAGACACCTCCAGCAGAAGTCAAAATTTGCTGGCTGTGTACCATGGTGCACACCTGTAATCCCAGTACTCTGGGAAGCTGAGGCAGGAGGATCACAAGGTCAAGCCCCAGCCTAGGCCACTTAATGACTTAGCAAGACCCTGTCTCAAAAAAAAATTTTTTTTGGTCTTTTTTGAGACAAGGTCTCGCTATGCAGTTCAGGCTGGTCTTGAACTCACTTTGTAGCCCAGGCGGCCTCAAACTCGCAACAATCCTCCTGCCTCAGCCTCCTGAGTGCTGGGATTACAGGTGTGCACCACCATGCCTGGCTCACCCTTTTTCATTTATTTTATTTTATTTTTTAAATTTTAAGAGCCAGGTGCAGTGGAGTTCATATGTGGAGGTTTCCAAGTTCATATGCGGAGGTCCCAGCCTCGGCACTCCAGAACACAGCTGGATTCTGAGTCAAGGGCTGGGAAGCAGTAACTAAGTGAAAGCCTGGTGTCCTTGTGAGAAGAGAGGAGGGCACAGGCAAGCACAGAGGGGCAGCCTCATGGAGCCACCGGGAGAAGAGGCCCTTGGAAAGCCAGGAGAGGGACCCCAGGGGACACCAGCCTGGGGACTTTAACCTTGGGCTTCCAGGTTCAGGACAAACAATTCCTGATGTCAAAGCCGCTCTACCTGGGGTATTTTGTTATGGCAAAATACCCAACAATGGGGCGGGAGTTTAGCTCAGCGGCGCAGTGCCTGCCTGGCAAGTGTGAGGTTCTGAGTTTGATTTCCGGTACCCGCCCCCCTCCAAAATAAAACCCCAGCAAATCAATGCCTTTGCAAAATGGGAAGGTCCGACCAGCTGGCTCCTAACACCCCTTGCGAGTGAAAAAACTTTTTTTTTTCTTTTTTGAGCAGCTGCACCTTGGACCCCAGCGTGATGTGGGAAGCTGGCTGTGCGCAGTTATTCGCACGCCGATGTAAGGTCCTTGTCGCACCAAACAGAAGCAAACTCGAGCAGCACGCACAGCTGCTTAAACCCCTCAGGGATCTCACACGGGGATGCAAGGCGGGAGCAAACGACCTCGGTACACAACTCACACCAGCGAGCCCGCAGGACCCCCAAGACTTGGTAAAGCCTCAAAAATAGACAAGGACACAGGTGGAAAGGCAGGTCTCCTCCCCTGGTTTGACAACTTTTTTCCCTGGCCCTGAGCTACATCCCAGCCCTTTTTTAATGTTTTAAATTTTGAGATGGGGTCTTGCTGGGGTCTTACCTGACATCCTCCTGCCTCGGCCACCTAGTGTGCTGGGATTAAATTATGTGCTACCACACTCAATTCCGATTTTAGCAATTTAAACCCCGTTACACACACACACACACACACACACAATAGGGCCTCCTGTCTTAAATATTGCTAGGAAAGCACTTTCACCTGGGTCTTTCAGTTGAGTTCAAATTTCATTTCTCCATTCAGGAAAATTGCTTTTTTCCAAATTGCTTTTACTCAACAGTGTTTGAGAGCTGGCCAAGTCACGGCCCCCACAAGGTTTTCACCAGGGCTTTATTTATTAACGCCCTCCCTCTCTTGCAAATGACAAATGGTGAAATCCTTTCTAAACCAAATACTCTTCTACCCACAGAGCCGGTTTTTCAAAAGCAGAAACCACTGACCCACTCGCTGTTCTCCTCTGATACTTGGAGGTCAAAGATTAATAAATTAAAAAAAAAAAAAAGATTAATTCCAACTGCCAAGCTTGCCAGGCTTTTGGAATTCCTCCATCTCTGAGGGGCTCGGGGCCATCCCTACCACCTTAGCAGGGGGATTGAAAATTCAAGCCATTGCCCGCTTGGTCTGGCTCCCTGGTGAGTCAGTTGCAAAACACAGAAAGCAACTAAATGCTTCTGAGCCCGAGAAGCAGGAAATGAAGGGTCCACGAGTGGTGATACAGGAACAAGCCTTCTTTCTTGCTCAACGAGATCAGTTTAATCTGTGCCAGGGAGGAAGGTGCCCCTCCCAGAGCAGATGGCAAACCTTGACCCTCCTTGCCCTCAAGGAGCAGAGCCGGTTTTTCTGCTGCTAAGAGCTGTATTTGTTGACGGTGCCTGAGTCACACAGGGCTCTGAGCACTTGACTGGGAGCCTCCAACTCAGAGTTCTTCCTGAGGTCCACCCTCAAGGACACTGAAGAATTCAGGGGCTTCCAGGACTTGGATGGGTCCAAAAAAAGTCACATCTGTATTTTCACTAACTTCTAACTGAAATTCAGCATTTGGTTCCACCCTCGATGTATAGTCAATAAGCCACAGTACTATTGCGACTGTCCCCGATAGAAACCACCGATGTCTCCATATCCTGTGACTGTTGCTACAGAGGTTTCAGATATCTTTTACATTTATCATTATTTTGTTTTGTTTTGTAATACTGGGGACTGAACCCAGGACCTTCACAATGAACTACATCTTCAGCACCTCCCACCTTGTTTTGTTTTGTTTTGTTTTGGTTTGGTTTGGTTTGGTTTGGTTTGATTTGGTTTGATTTGGTTTTGGTTTTTCTTTTTTAAAACAAAGTCTCACTGTGTAGTGCAGACTGCCCTTGGACTTGTTTATGTAGCCCAGGCTGGCTGCAAATTCACAGCGATCCTCCTGCCTCAGCCTCTCAAGTCCTGGGATTACAGGCATGCACCACGATGACAGGTGGACCACCCCCCCTTTTAAGACAGGGTCTCACTATATAGTTCAGGTGGCCTTGAACTCACTATATAGCCCAGGCTGGCCTCAAACTCTAAGATCCTCCTGCCTCCCCCGCTTGATTACTGAGATTATAAGTGTCTGCCATCATGCCCAGCTCTTCTCTTTTTAAATTTTGAGACAGGGTCTCGCTAAATTACTGTGGGCAGCTTGGATGGGCTCAAACATGCAATCCTCCTGCCTCAGCCTCCCAAGTACTGGGATTACAGGCATGTGCCACCATGCCTGGCTAGAATTAGCTGGTCTTATTGCTCCCCACTCTTGGGAGAGAGGGCTTATAAGAAAGGGAAAAAGAATATAACAGGATGATGTCAGAGAGCTTTAGTATGTTCCAGGGTCTCCTGTGACACCGGGTAACCAGTCTCAGAACTCACCTTTTCCAGAGGGAAATTCTGCTCCACCAGAGTAATCCCAGGAACCCCAAGCCTGTGTGGGTGTGAGGACTGTACCTGTGACAGTAACTTCGCCCAGGGCCTGGATGTCACTGCCCTCTCGCTGCTGTTGAGAAGTGAGGGGTACCGATTGTGCTTACAGGTGTGGGGTGTAACCTGGGGGCCCCACCCCTGCTGTTTGGGGTGCATTGTAGCAGGCAGGGGACCATGGAGTCCTCCTGCCACCCTCCTGCACCTGGAGGTCTCCTGGGCTCTCATAGTTGTCTCACTAGGGCATCTGGAGGGTGCTGCCCAGGGAAAGGGGGTGGAGTAAAGCCTGGTCCTTCCTATACGCACTGACCATAACTGTAATCCTGGTACTGTACTGGGGAGGCAGAGGCAGGAGGATCACCTCGAGTTTGAGGCCAGCCTGGGCTATGCAAGTGTTCGAGGCTAGATTGAACCACATAGTGAAAGCCTATCTCAAAAAACAAACAAAAAAGAGTAGCTAATTCTGATAGAGAATCTTTGTCCCTCCCACTTGAATTCTCCCAGAATCCTCCACCCTCCTACCGAGGAGAACACCCAGCTCCAGCATTTGAGCGATGGAGGAGGAGTTGCGTGGGTGGTGAGGGGCTTGAACTTTACCCCCAGGGGGTATGGACGAGGCTCCTTACACCAGGATCTGCGTGACAAACTTCTAGAACACAGGCCCCGAGTTGGCTGTGGAAGGGGGTCTAGCCTGTGACTCTCTTTCTTACAATATTCCTTTCGCCTTGTTTAGGAAAAAAAAAAAAAAAAAAACCACTAGATTGATTTCAAGAAGCAAATTAACAGGTAAGAGCCTAGGTCCCAGAAAGATTCAAACTCAGCCGATATCAGAGAGATGCAAATCAAAATGACATTAAGGGAGCATTTTACGTTCATCAGAAGGGCAGAAATTAGGGCGGTGCAAACGAGGGAGGTGGGGCGCTGGCAGAGGGCGCTGCCAGGCGGGAGAGCGCAGAGGGGAGGGCGCAGGTGCCACAGCGCAGGTGCCCAGAGCCGCAGCCGGGCCTGGGCTCCACCCCAGCGCCCTTGTCTGGAAAATGGAGCCGATGTTATAGAAACGCTGTGAGGACCCAAGTTCTGGGACTGTGGGACCCACTGGCACCTGCAAGCTCCCATGGCACCTTGCTTGGACCTTGGTCCCTGGGATGATGGAGCCCAAGGACCAGGTGAGTGAGCAAGGGACACAGTTGGGCAGCAGTGAGAAACTACAGCCTGCCAGCCATGGTGGCACACTCCTGTGATCCCAGCACTCCGGGAGGCTGAGGCAGGAGGGTTACAAGTTTAAGCCCAGCATGGGCAATTTAGGAAGACTCTGTCTCCAAATATGAAATAAAAAAATGTTGAAAATGTAGTGCAGTGCAAAGGCCCTGGGTTCAATCTCCAATACCAAAAAAAAAAAAAAGGCAGCCTAGACCCAGAGTTGACAAACTTTTCCATAAAAAAAGCAGAGAGTAAATATTTCAGGCTTTGCAGACCACACTGTGGTGATAGCCT